TCTAAAGATTATAATTTCCTTATCTTTTAACTGATAGACTAATACTTATGCATTAAAATTTTCATATATCTACTTATTTTACTTTTATACATTGAGTTTTTAGAATATTGGAATTGTAACTTATAATTACTTCTGGTGGAACCTATTAGATTCAACATTCACAAGACAAGTATTTCATTCAAGGTGAAAATTATAAAGTAGATTTGAATCTTTACTTTCACCGATTCAACTATATTCACATCATTTGTGTTCACTTCCATTTTCATATTCTAGATCTAATACCGTAGTACTACTATTTTTTAAATACTTTAGTTTTTCTATTTAAGTTAAATCATATTGATGTGTATAATACCCTAAAACTAAATGGTATGTTGTACTTGGTTTCGTTTGCTTTTTGTGTGTGGTTATTTTTTGTTTCATAATTTTAATCTCTATAGATCTACTTCTGTAAGTGTAAGTTAAAGACAATGCTTGAAGTGGCAAAAAAAAAACAAATAGCCTGCAATCAAGTGATATCCTATAAGAACAGTTTAAGCAGCAAGTGAATTGAACTGATTGAGTTGTCTACAAGCACCGTAATAGAAGCTATGGAAGCCAAGCTTTATTGCATGGTTGTCATCAATTATATGGAAGAAGTGTCCAAATCTATTTTTTAACAGCGAGACAAGCAGCAAAGTTTATATGCATGACTCAATACCTAAGATTTTCTTTTTAATTTGCTTTGCAGAAATTGCAGCATCTAAATTTACTTGAAGGTTGGTTGCTACTCACAAAAATGCGATTAACAGCGGCACCATGGAAATCGATTATGAAGATCATATATCTGTCCATCCTCATTAGTGACATTCAAGAACCAGCCATGTACACGAGATCATCATTAATGTAGTTATAAATTTTCATCTTTATATACTGCCTAAAAGTACTACATATTAGAGAGAGAAATATTCTCACGAAACAAATTGCCCAGCGAGACCGAAACCTGGACCGAGACCGTCCAGTTCAGTCCCCAAAACTATAAACTGGGACCGGGTACCCTTAGGCCCGGAACTGGAAAAAATGGACCCGTTCCAGGCCCAAACGGTGCCGAATTAACCGCCGAACCGGGTCCATGCCTTATTGTGAGCAAATGAATAACCAAAAGCTGCCACCTTTCTGCTTTTGCACTTTTATCAGTTTATGTGCTTTTGTTTGTAATGGCAATAAAGAATATGTTTTGAAGCTTTTAAGTGTTTTACTCTACATATTTCTATAAAATTGCTTTATGCAATGATCTTTCTATTCATGTACTTGAGATTTCTTTTATAAGAAGCTTAAATATGACATGATAGATCTTATTCAAAGCATGTATTTTTACTTATGATAACATATTAGTGACCCAATTCATATGTAATTTTTATCACATATGTCCCTGATTCAATAGTTTTATTTGAAATTACAGAAGTAAACAACGGTTTTATGGTTTTATATTGAATCATTTGATCTATTGAAGCTTAGATATTGAAATAGTATATCTATTTGATTTGTTTTTAAATATTCACTCACTCAATATTTAATGAAAAGAGGGATATTGTTTGGTTGAATTGCTATATCAATCCAAGATCTGATAGATTTATTATTAATAGAAGATCTGAAAGATAAAGTGTCAATATAGAATTTGAATAATTTAAAAGTACTAATCTAAGGCCTAAAGTACCAAGAGTTTTAATAAAATTGCCATTAAAATAGTGTTAATGGCAATGTGTCAAGTTTTGAAATGCTCGGGTTAATGATACATGGAACTATACGAATGTCCATTAGTGAATATATGTTACAATTTATTAATGATTAACTGTGTAGTAGCCATTAATTAGAGTTAGACCAAATTAAACGCTGAAGTGTTTTTCATCATATGTCGTTTTACATTCAATTTTAACTATTTATTTCTTAATTTGCTATTATAATCACGTCTTGCTTTGAATTTTGTTAATGTTTTCGGTTAACCAATTCATTTTCAACTTTTTTAGTTTTAATATAATTGCATCTAAATTATTATATAAATACCTTACTCCCGTGCAACGCACGGGTGGAGTAACTAGTTTGAGCTATAAAAAATGTTCATTTACACCATAAAGGGATAATCTACACTAGAGATTATTTTAGGTAACTCGTGAATTTAGACCATATGTTTATGTATAATGATTCTACACAGTAACATATACTCCACTTCTTTGTGGAATAAATTGGCGACAAAGTTGGATATGTGCACAACTTTAGTCGTAGATTTTAATTTGATCATCAAATTACTATCATTTCTTCACCGTGTTTAATTATTTGATTTCAATTTCAAGACCATTCATTAAATGAGACCTAGGTAATACGAAGTAGTATCTAGGATTCTATGGTAAAATCATTCTTCTATAGATTATTGTACATGTCTTGAGATTGAAAGTAGAAAATTGTGAGAATTGAGTGAGTGAAGAAGTGAGCAAGAATGAGCCATGTTCATCTCCCTTCCATTATGACTCACATCCTTTGATTTCAGATCTGCATACGACCTCCAGCAGACCGGCACCACAATGGGCTGACACAACTTGTGTTTAGGGTGTGTTCGGTTCAAACGGATTGGTTTTTACCTAAAATCAAATGCCGAACCAAAGTAAAAAGTTTGGTTCGGTTCGGTTTGGTTTTATGTTCGAAATTTTGTAACCCCGGTTTGTTCGGTTCGATTTCGATTTTGTTGATTAGAAAAATAGTAATTAAACAAAATATAAAGTTTACCAAATTTTAATTAATAGTAATACAATACAAAAACATACATAGTTAAAAAAGAGAGAAGAAACAAATGCACTTCCTAACAATGAATCAGAGAGTGTGTATACCAATTTAAACATTTTCTAAAATTAAACATATGAGTTTATTTGTGAATTATATACAGAGTATTCACAAGTTAAAATTTTATTAATATATAACTTAATCTACTTTTTTTAGCCAAATATATTTACGCTCTAAAGTTTCACATTTTCTGCTATGGTGTTTAAAGTATAGTTTATATTAATATATATTTGTTCAATATAAAAATTACGGAGTATGTGATAACAAACATACATAACATATAATATATCAACAAAGTATCATGTAACAACAAGCAAAATGTAAATTACGATTTAAAATATTAACATATTAGTATTATAGTAATAGACTTAAGTTTACATACAAGTGTTTCACTAAATTAAGCAATAAAAATTAAATGTCAATATCTTGCGAATCATAATAAATCTAGTATCAAACATTAATTTTCTAGAATTAAGAATTAAGAACTAAACAAAACATTATACTTAATGATTAATAGATAAAATAACAACTTTTAAAAAGTTCGGTTTATTCGGTTCAGTTCGGTTTTGAGATGTGAAAACCAAAACCGAAACCAAACACTACGGTTCGGTTCGGGTTTTTTAGTCCGGTTTCGGTTTTCTTGCGGTTCGGTTATTTTGGGTGCGGTTCGGGTTTCTTCGATTCAGTTTTTGGTTTTCGATTTCTTCGACCCAGCCCTGTTTGTGTTGGATGGAGAAATGAAAGAAATATGGAGTAACTAATACCAAGTACTACGTATAGGCATGGCCTCGGTTCGGGCCGCCCGGCCCGGGACCGGCCCGACCCGCCACTGTGCGGGCCCGGCCCGGCCCGGTTTTCCGGATCCGGGTCCGGTTCGGGCCGGAGGCCCGGGGGTGGGGCGGTTCCGGGCTCGGTTCATGGGTTTGACGGCCCGGCCCGGCCGGTTCGGGTCCGGGCCAAATCTATTTTTTTTTTTAGTTTTTTTCATTTTTTTTGGGCTGTTGGGCTTGGGCTATCTGTTTAGGCCGGTTTGGGGGGGTTTGGGGGGTGGGGGGTGGGGGGGGAGAAAGGAAAAAAAAAAATTAAACCGGGTGGCCCGACCGGCCCGGCCCGGAACCGGACCCGGGACCGCCCTACCCCGGTTCGGGCTCGGGCCTGCTATTACTGAACCGAGGCCCGGCCGGGCCTAGGCCCGAGGCCCGAACCGGCCCGGTTCAGTCCACCACTAACTACGTATAAGACTAGACTTGGTGATCAATTATGACCAAATTAAAATATTACGACTAAATTAGCTACTACAACAATGATGGAAGATTACTTTTAGCATTACATAAATTGTTCACTCAAACTATTGTTCTTGAAAACAATTGATTTGTGTGGTTATTGTGGTTTTTTTTTGTGAAATAAATTTATCTGAAAATCCATAAATTCTTAATACACATTGTTTATGAACAAACACTATTTCCGTGCCTACAAACACTGGTTTGCGCGATCGTCTGTTCACTTCAGCACAAAAATCAATGTCTTGAGATAGATCATAGTTGGACGTTCTTGAATAAATTCTTCTTTTCTTATTTGATAAACAAGTTGTTCTAAGTTTACTTTAGTGATAGATAGTATGTAGTACTACCTCCCTCCCACTATCTAATAGTTGGATGACTACTCCACTGTTAGGGGTTAGCATTTTGATACTTAGAAGCATATATTCTCACTCTAGCTCTTGTATTAGCATCAGTACCGAAGTCCCATTGGGCCATTTACATGTAATCAGTATTATAGCCCTAATACAAGCAGACTTTTGAGTACATTGAGTTGTTTATTCATTTCCTAATCACTTTTAATGCAAATTGTCTTAAATATCCTAAAGTTTGGGTTGGGCTTTGGGGTCTACGAGATTAAAGCTCAACATTACCAAATATAATATGAAACAAACTTAATGGGACAGATGAAAAAGATAAAATGAGACAAAATTAGACGGAGGGAGGGAGTAACAATTATACGGTCTCTAACGCTTTAAAAATTTCGGTCAATAAAGGTTTTTTATATAAAAGAATCAACCAATAAATTTTGGTAACAAAGTTCCTCTAGATCAAGTTCCTCTAGGGAGAGGGGACGTACTGTATGAAAGTGTGTGCTCTACCTCTAAATGCTTGGTCAAATGATTAGAAGTAACTAGTTGATTAGTATGGAGATAAACGGGCACATTTTTATAGAACAAACAAAAGAGACGAAAACCCATCTTCCCCTTCATCATCTATCTATCCGTTTAAACCAGAAGAATGTTGCAAGCACAACACAGCTCATTCTCCATCTTCCCCTTTCTTCACCCTCTCAAACCATCATTTGCACCCTCTAATCTCTCCGTCTATAGTCCCATCAAGCCTCTGCGCCCTGCGCGAGCCCAAAATATCCGCCCGGCGCCGCCGGAACCATGGCTGGCAGATGCCCAGGACGAGCCCACCACGCCTACTGTAGACGCTCCCTCGCCTCTTCTTTCAGAGGAAGGGCCTATCGAGCTCCCGTCTTCAGCTCCCTCCATTTTTGCATCCTCAGACGACCCTAATCCTATCCAATCCTCCGCCACTCTCCTCCTCACTGGCTCCCTCTCCGTCTTCCTCTTCAGGCTTCTCCGCCGCCGTGCCATACGTGCGAAAGAAATGGTCAAGCCAGCGTTTCTTCCCTTTTAAAACTTTATGAACTTCTGGATTTTGATTTCAGTGTTTTGAACCTTATGCATTGATCACATCTTGTTGGGATTAGAGACTTAGGTCATCGGGAGTGAAGAAAATATCAAAAGAAGATTCAATTGAGACTCTGAAAGCAATTACGCCAACGCCTATTGATCCGCAGGCTTCACCCAGAGAAGCAATCGTGGGTGGTTTGATTGCAGGCGTTGTTGCGGTAATCCTATACAAATTCACTACAACTATTGAGTCATCTCTCAGTCAGCAACCGCTCTCGGACAATTACTCGGTTTGTCTCTCATATCAGCCTGGAGATTTCTTTTAATTGGATCTAATAATAATAGTAATAGTAATATTGTTGTTTTTGTTGCTATTACTATTATTATTGCGTAGTATAATTATATTAATCTTTTCATGTAGAAATGCTAAGAACTGCCTCTATTAGACTATTACATATGGTCTTTTAAATTGATCAAGAAATTATGATATTCTAACTTGAGGGCATAGTTCTGTTCTGCACTGAATTTAAGCTTATGCATTGAAAGTATATGATTGTTTTATAGTAAACTGCACTGTTTAGGAACACTTCGGTACATGGTAAACCTAGTTCACTTAGGATTGAGTTGTGATGAGTTGAGTTTCAAACATAATGTTTTGTGTCCCAAGTAAATGACTTGATAATTTGATGTTAATCTGTCATGCACCGGGGGTGTGAATAGAATTGTGGCCTTGTAGTTTGAGCTTCTCATTTAGTCCTTGTTTAGTTCAAAATAGGTGAGTGGAGGGAACGAGAATGGGGGTAGATGATTGAAAACTATGGAGGAGTTCAAATAGATGTCATGATTGGCTGCATGGAGTGAAGAGAAATCACTGTTGTGAATTATTTGAAACTATTACGGAGTACGATATTATCCTCTGGTTAATTTTTTTGTAAATAGGAACATATTAATCAATTTCTATAATGTAGAAAAAATGTAATATAAAAGGTGAAAAAGATGTTAAGAAAAAAATCACTTCCTCCAAATTTCCTCAATTTGGGGATGTTAGAGGAGTCAATAACTCCAATTTCCATCCCTCCTCTCCAAAGTCCTCCAACCAAACAAGGGCAGTTCATTAGTAGTGACAAACTCCAACTATAGTCCAGGAGTTGATTGGAAAGTGGTTAATTTTGTCCTTGAGGGTCCAAAAGCTCCACCATTTGACCAACATCGGAGGCCTTGTATGAGACAAAGAGTTCCACTTTGCTTTCCATTTAAGGACCAACAATTTTGAGCTGGTGACTACTGAAGAACTGAATTATTCAGTTATGATGTACTGGGTATATGTATTCGGATATAAAACGTACTACTCCCCTTATATTTGTATATCAAGTTAGTGCCGTCTTTAGAACTTTTATCAATAAAAAAGATATGTTGATTTCATTTTTCTTTCACTATCATTTTCTACTCATTCATTTTTATTTAACATTTTCAGGCTCGTCAGATAACAATAACAATAAGGTATGTCTTCTAACTTCCTTAATGAAGTCATCAACTCACCAATAGTGTTGATCCATGATGTTGATTACAATTGAACTATTATGTTTCAGAACAATCATTAACGGCTTGTGCTACCTTGCAACATTTGTGTTCGGCATGAACTCCATAGGATTATTCCTCTACTCTGTGTATATTACCTTGAACTCACTGTCCGGAGATTCTACTACAAGTCAAGACACAAAAAAAGAAAGAGATGAACAGCTGAGTTCTGAGACTCTTGTAAATAGAAGTGAGGGCAACATCAGTAGAGATGACATAGCTTCAGATAGTCCAAATTAGTTTTCGGAAAACAATAGGAGCAAGGAGGGGTTAGGAATTGGTTCAGGGAATTGTAAAATTATCTCAAATCTACTTTCACTCGGATATAAGTTAGAGACAGTTTTGCCCCCTTGAACATTTTCCTAACGCTCTCCCTGTGTTATGGGGGTGTGTTTGGATTTGATTCTTAAAACTGCTTCTGCTCCTTCAGGGTGCAGAAGTAGAAGTTGAAGTGTTTCTGATGCTCTTATTTACTTCCAGAATCAGTTTTTTTAGAAGCTGGGGGAGATCAGCTTCTGAAAACTGATTCTGATTTTGCTTCGCTCTAAAAAAGAAGCAGAAGCAATTTCAAACACCGCTATATCATTGTCTTTAATTTAAGGTATTAAGAGAAAATGAACAGATTCAGTTCCTGATTTTGTATTTTATAGGCAGAACAATGTAATGCAACTTATACAAGTAGGTGATATGCCTTAGCGTAATTGGCCTCTTGGAGCTCTTCTACAAAATAACATGCTCTGTACAAAGCAGATTGGCTTTCCTCCAATAAGCACATATTAAAAACAGACTTCTTAAATGTTATTTGGTGTTACATATACGACATTTTTCCAAACAGGTACTTATCTATAAAAGTACTTCTCCTATAAGTTAATTGTTAAAAGGTATTGGTATAATTGTATAAAATAATAGTGACGTGAGCGTATCACTATAATAAAAGTGCTTTTAACAACACTATAAAAAAGGTTATGATATTCATTTTTTGTGTTTTTAGTCTCCTTTCTCTTCATAACGGAGAAGGAAATATACATGGGGCGCGACCTATCTATCCTTTATCGCTTCTCCATTTCTCTTCTTGCGGGAATCAGGAATTACCTACAAGTTATCTCCCCTTTATTTATTTCTCTTCAACTTCATCTTAAACAAAGGAAAATGGATTTACGAATTTTACAATTATCAAATTATGCGAGTGTGATCCTATAATCTAATACAGAGTACTGTTTAACTCTGGAAATTGAACTGCAATTTCAAAATTGCATTTAATTCATATATTGAAGGCTTCTTAAGTTCTTTGTTCAATTGTTTGTAAATTTAACCAATTATTATTACCCTCCACTTTTAATTACGGTCCTTGAAGGGTTCTCAGAAAGATGAAGCAAAAAAAATACTCGTATAAAATAAGTAGGAAAGTTGACGATAAAAAGTAGAGAATTTATTAAAAAGGTAGAAGTTGCAAAAAGTAGAAATAAGACGAATAAAAAACCTTTCCAAATGTGTCAAAAAAGACTTTCCAAAACAATTGACAATTTAAAGAAAACAAAGGGAGAAGTATCTTTGTATTAGAAAAAGTCATTAATTACAAAGGGGTTGCTTCGTGCACCCCCACAATTGCTTAACGTAACCATGGACGGACAAATTTGGCCTTCTTAATTATTAATTAAATTAATTATGATTAAACGTAAATAAAAAATGGCTTCGCGCACCCTAACGTTTCCATGCTCGGCTCATGTTCTTACAATTTTACATTAAATGTACATTCAATAAAATGATGCCATGTGGCAAGTTATTCCTTTTTTTTTATAAAATTTCATAACTTTTTCATTTTTGCTCCGATTTTTATAAAACTTATACCAAATTAAATATCTTTTTATGATCTTTCATATGACACCCATATTATATTTGTAATTTTTTTAAAAAAATCTGGTCAAGTCCATTCAGATCTGATCCTATTTGTTTGAATCTATGTGGTTCGAAATCAGTTCAATTAAAAACATTCTAAATATCATTCACATCATAAATCTTGTCATGTAACATGGTGCTGATGGAGTTTTAAAAGTCGGGGCCCTCCACCTTTGAAATTAGTCAAACTAATAAAAAATGAAGATAATTAGTTTACTACAATTAAAAATGTTACTTATTCAAATTTATAATCAAATATAGAACTTCCAAAAAAATCTAATATAGAATTGCGCAAAGTAAAAAAAAATATTTGTGTTTTTATAATATATAAGGTTTATATAAATCATCCAATACAATTGGAACAGGGTCTTTTATCGAAATTTGATTTGGTTTGGAGGTCGTTTGGAACCACTGTTTTCGGCTTATGGGGCTTATCAGCCAGCTTTTTCGCCAAACACGTAACTTTTACTTTCGCTCATTGAATTGTGTAATAAGCACAAAAAGTAAGGCTGGAGTTACTTTTCTGGATGTATTGGCTAAAGTTAGTGTAGGTGACCATTTTAGCTATTTTTACATATAATTTTTTCTTTATTTTATTAATAAAATATATTTTAAAAATAATTTTTTCTTAAATCAGTAGAAATAGCCAATGCAGCCACTTCACCCAGAACTTCATAAATTTAAGCCGATTTTCATTCTACCAAATGGGCTCTTGATTTGGAATAAAAAACATCTCAATTAAACATCTAGATTAATTTTTTTCTTCTAGATACTGTCAATCATAGTGATTTGATAGTAGAACAAAAACAATTTTATTCAATATAAAGATGAATGAAAGTGTATATATGACCATCAAAATATTAACGAAAATTGTATACGACAAACTTAATGAATCACATCACAAAGAAGAATGGAGATACAGATAGTGGGGCAGATGAATATCTCATAAGTGTGAAAATAAAGAGTACTTTTTTTTTAGATAATTCTCAGATTCATCCTCTATTGTATATGAAGATTGTAAAAAATTATAAGAGCATTAGTAATGAGTTTCAAATATTTATATAGTAGTTGTTTGATGGTAATTAGAAAGTGTAATTATGATTGTATTAGGAATTTAAGTGCATTTGGAAACATGTAACACAAACTTTTGGAAATATAAAAACTTTTTTTTAAATCGTCCTGTGATTTTGGAAGCAACAAGGTCAAAAAAACGGCTGTGTGTTTGACTTAGGCTAGGAGGTGCGCCTAGTACTCTAGTACCATTAGAATCGTGAGATTGCTTGGCTGAAGGACATAATTGACCAGGTTGGCCAAAAAAATGGTGCGTTGAGCCATTTACATGGCGCGCAGAGCACAAGCGATTACAAAACGATAGGTTTTTATTCTACTAAAGAAAGCGTCATATACACTATAAAAGTTATATGGAGCATATGAGAAATTTATTAATTTAATTTGAGGATTTTTTTACAAAAATATTATTAAAATAAACTTATTTGCAAAAATATGACTATTAGTTACTACAATGTAGTGTCATAGTAACTTAAATTTAAAAATTGAACATAAATTAATATGATTTCATTATTACTCTAGCCATTAATCATATTTTTGTAAGCAGTCTTCATTTTAGTCATATGTAATTATTTCTTAATTTAACTGTTAATGAATTCTAAAAAGATAAATATTATGCTGCCGCAATAATAAATGATAGTGTCGAACTATGACACATTTGATTGATCATTTGATCTATGTCATTATTTTACTCTCTCCGTGGCTCCGTCCCCCTAACTTTGTCCCACTTTACCCTTTTCGTATGTCTCATTATGTTTGTCTCATACCATATTTGTTAATTTTTGGGTGGTTATAATTCATTCTTACTTTATTAACACTTTATCAATTCAATACCAACCACAAAATTTAACTTTTTCTTAAAAGTTGTGTCACACCCCTTTGTCTCAAACATAGTGGGACGGAGGTCAGTTGTTATACCGTGAGAGCAGCCCACGGTGAGCATGCTGCTCCAGGGCCCAAAAACACGTGTTACTGTTCACGCGCGTGAACAGTAACTTCTTTTTCATTTTTTTCATTGTCCCAGCAGCAGAACGATGAAACTCGCGTGCAAAAACATGTAACTCACACTGATAAGAAATGTATTTGCAGGCAAGTCGGAATGTAACTTGTCTGATACAAATTATAAGAAATAAAACATTTATTTCAATGAAAACAAGAAGTCTAATTGCTAAATAATAAATATATTTTGTTTTTAATATTAATACCATAGAAATTTTTTAAATTTTTTTTTGCCAAATAAAATATTTTTTTGCCAAAAAATCACTTTTTTGCCCAAAAATCATTTTGTTTTGCCAAAAAATCATTTTCTTTTGCCAAAAAATGATTTTTTTTTGCAAAACAATGATTCTTTGATTTCAATAGTAGGGCTTTATGAAGTTTATTCTGTTGTAATTTAATTTATTATAGATAAAGATAAGTAAAAAATCACAAATAATTAGATATAACTCATACATAATTCAATGTAACTCGCTTTGCTACAAATGTAATTTCAGTTAACATCAAATGTAACAGGTGCCCAAAAATGTAACTCATGTTACTCCCTCCAGTAGTTCTATCACTTTTCATAGGTGAAATGTAAACCGTGTATTATAAAATGTAACTTCAAATTTGTGGAAATGTAAATCGAGGATATATAACATGTAACTTGAGAAATGTAACTCAAGCTAAATAAAAAATGTAAATCGGGATAATTTAAATGTAACTTGAACTCAATGGAAATGTAAATTGTTTCAATAGATATGTAACTTGAGCCCAAATAAAAGTATACTTATCTACCCCGTATTAAATATACATACTCCATATACTTGGTATAATGAATACACTCGTAGATGCTATCTTTCAGAACAAAAAAACAATTGTAGATGCGATTAAACTCAGGCAGTCTAAATGGAGTTTTGCGCCGAGTGAACTCGTCACTGGATCGACGATGGATTCTGGGCGAGACAACAGGAAGTTAGGAGAACAATGGACAATTTCGATCTAAGATGGAACGATCATGGTCGGAAAGCTACTGTTTTGATGCGGATGCGGAGTATAGCGGCCAGCAATTGTTCCGTCGCGGGGCTCCCAGATGCATAGCAGATGCGAAGCAGTTGCAAATCCACAACAAGGTCGAAGATCGGAGACAATCAATTCCAGGCGCGGAGCAATTCCAGATGCTGGCCGGACTCCCCTAAACTAATTAAATCGATGGAATCTCTATTTTAGAGGTGCAAGACCTACGATATTTGCTATTTGTTTTAATTGAAAAACGACAGCGTTTTGGGATCGGTACACCATGAGCATGATGCGCGGATCTCACGGTATAATTTGCAGACGGAGGTAGTATTTAGTATTTATTTAGTTTTGAATGATGCAATTGTAATATTTAATTGATCCACTTGGATAAGGTAATATCCACTAATCCACAACTTCATGCTCCAACGTATATTTTCTTCCGTCTTCACCATATACTACATGTGTATAATACACGCACACAATCACACATTACACATTTCACTGGTGGAATTAGGCCTGTCAACGGGTCAGATACGGGCCGGAACTATAAATTTCATATTCATACTCGTCGAAATTTTTTTGGTCCAGATCCGAACCCATTTACCCTTCTGATCCTAAACATATGTTCCAGCTTTGGATCTGGCGGGTCTCGGATCCGGGCCAGGTATACCGGCAAAAAAAACTAAATGACATATGCAAACAAATATAATACAGAGTATATAACAAAAAATGTTCATGTTGGAAGAGGTCATATAAAAATAAGCAAAATGTTGTTCTATTCGTTACTCCGTATGAACTATACAATATATACAGAGTATGTTATATGTATATTAGTGAACTCATGAAGAACCTAGAACACTAACTCATTAGCGAAAATCCTATTATAGTGGACCAACCACTAAATAAGCCTACAAACATAAAAACATTTTTTATAATTGATTATTTTCCTTATTTTATGTTTAAATATATTTATGTATATTGTGTGTGTGTAAAAATTATAACTATAATTATATCATCACGGGTCGGGTCCAAAACGGGCCGGAACTTAAAAATCCATATCCGACCCATTTTCTTTATCATGTAATGGGTTCGGATACGGATCCGGGAAACGTTTTAAATTTAGACCCATACCCTCAAATAAAGTGCTAGATTCGGATCGAGTCCGGGTCTAGACCCGACACATTGACAGGCTTAGGTGGAATGATGAAAATTCAAGTTCCTCAAATTTTGGCTACATGGAATTTAATGTAAAGACGTTTCCTAAAAAAATGTATGATATCTTAAAGTTGTCCACATGGGACCGGAATAATGTTCTAAAATGTATTTAACGCGTAAGATACTTTCAATATCATGTACATTAGCGTAAAGCAACATATCCATCTTCATCTTCAAGCGTAAAAAAGATAAATGATATACCTTCGTATTACTGTGGAAGAATATGCAATAAGTTCACTGTGAAGCATATTAGCATAACGTGTGGTGGAGATGCTCTCACTTCATCCTTCATCACATCGACGAGGTGACTGGTAGAAATAGTTTCACTTTATCCTTCATCACATTCAGCGGTGGACGCAGGAATTTCCGGTAATAAGGGCGAGTACAAAAATATACATACAAATACATATACATTTAAAATTTCGGGGTAAATATACTTAGAATTTTTTTTGGGAGGAGCAGCACTCAGCAGCCCCCTTTGTCACCCCCTGTGTCCGCCACTGATCACATCTACGTGCTCCATAATGAGCATGTTGCTCGCTAAATTTGCTCACCTATTAGATAAAAATGTGCATTGAACGATTTAACTGATTCGATGGGGTTCAAACTACACAAAAAGATATATATTATATTCCGTGATTGATGTATGGCTTGAACTGAAATACAAGTTAAAAGCATTGCAAAAAATTAACTGATTTTTAGTAAAAACATCAGTGTCATATTTTTAAACTAAAACGAACATAGTTGTTGAGACTATTTTTTACTAGTTTATATGAACTACTGATAGCTACTATTGCTGCAAACTACCGGAGGAACCAATGGCATCAAGCATGTCAGTGCTACTGGCTAGCATATCATCAAAAACATAATCCATACCCGGTAGCATAAGACTATCTATCATAACATCATCTTGCGTCAATGCTGGTTCAGCCGGAAGCACCAATGCTGGTTCAGCCGGAAGCGCCAATGCTTGTTCGGCCGGAAGCGCCAATGCTGGTTCGGCCGGAAGCGCCAATGCTGGTTCGGCCGGAAGCGCCAATGCTGGTTCGGCCGGAAGCGCCAATGCTGGTTCGGCGGAAGGCGCCAATGCTGGTTCGGCGAAAGGCGCCAATGCTGGTTCGGCGGAAGGCGCCAATGCTGGTTCGGCGGAAGGCGCCAATGCTGGTTCGGCGGAAGGCGCCAATGCTGGTTCGGCGGAAGGCGCCAATGCTGGTTCGGCGGAAGGCGCCAATGCTGGTTCGGCGGAAGGCGCCAATGCTGGTTCGGCGGAAGGCGCCAATGCTGGTTCGGCGGAAGGCGCCAATGCTGGTTCGGCGGAAGGCGCCAATGCTGGTTCGGCGGAAGGCGTCAATGCTGGTTCGGCGGAAGGCGTCAATGCTGGTTCGGCGGAAGGCGTCAATGCTGGTTCGGCGGAAGGCGTCAATGCTGGTTCGGCGGAAGGCGTCAATGCTGGTTCGGCGGAAGGCGTCAATGCTGGTTCGGCGGAAGGCATCAATGCTGGTTCGGCCGGAAACGTCAATGCTCGTTTGACGGAAGGCAATGTGAGTTCAGCCGGAGGCAGTAAAGTGGGTTCAGCCGGAGGCGGTAAAGTGGGTTCAGCCGGAGGCGGTAAAGTGGGTTCAGCCGGAGGCGATAAAGTGGGTTCAGGCGGAGGCGGTAAAGTGGGTTCAGGCGGAGGCGGTAAAGTGGGTTCAGGCGGAGGCGGCAATGCTGGTTCAGCCGGAGGCGGCATAGATGGTTTAGCTGGAGGCGCCAATGCTGATTCAGCTGGAGGCGTCAATGCTGATTCAGCTGGAGGCGCCAATGCTGATTCAGCTGGAGGAGGCAATGCTGGTTCAGTCGGAAGCTGCAATGCTGGCTCATCTGGTACAACCGCAAGTGGCAATGTTGATTCGGACAGGGGAATTAATGGTGGATTGGTTGGAGACAAAAGTGTTGGTTCGGCAGAAGGCAATGATGTTGGTTCAGCACGAGGCGGCAATGCTGGTTCAACCGGAGGTGACAATGCTGGTTCAGCTGGAGGCGGCAATGCTGGTTCATTTGTAGGTGGCAATGCTGGTTCAGCCGTAGGTGGTGGTTCGGCCTGAGACAATAATGTTGGTCCGGCTTGAGGCAATAATGCTGGTTCAGCCAAAGGTGATAATGTTGGTTCAGCCGAAGGTGTAAATCTTTTGGGGGGTTCTGCTGGGGGACACACCTTTACGGTATTGCGAATTTGAGAATCTATAAATGTATTTTGTTGCTCCACTGCCTTAGGGTGCTTCAATGTAGAGGCAGAGACATCAACTTGAGCTGAAGCAGACAAATGCACATCCGTCTTCATCTTTTTGGCCATCGGTTCAGTTGTCTTGGAAGATAATATGATGGCTGATGGTGGTGGTGGTTTCTGTGCTGCTTCACCTGTTGGAGCACAGACTACCCGTGAAGAAGTGTTGGCTGTCTGAATTGGATCATTACTGGTTTTTGACTGCTTGGCAGAATCGGCATTTTGTTGCTCTAACCTATAATCAGTTTCAGGCCGACGGCAAATCTTCCTCAGAGGAACGATTTCCTCAGATTGATCGTGATCATAGCGGACCAAGAAGCGACACCGGCATCCTCTTATGTCATGCCTCCGCCTTTGAGCATCAAGGACATGTGCATCAAAGTAAAGAGCCTGCTCCTTACCTTCCTGTTAAGAGTTTACAAGCAAGTTTATATCAGCAATTCCATTTTTAAGCAGCAGAAATTGTGTGATTGTTTGTGAAGCTGCTGTGCACAAACAGACAGTACACCTGGAAGCAGAGGATTAGATCTCCTGGTAGAACTGCTACGCATTCTGATGATTCGCAGGGAAGAGACCTCTGCCTAACATTTTTGCGAACATTAACCCACTCATCCTCTTCTGATCCAAACCCAGCAAATCGAACAAGGACTTCCTGAAATGGTCATTAAGCAATATAGTCAGACCATAATAACATGGGATATAAAATGGCAAAGCACACCAGCATAAGTGCCAAAGAGAGTTAGTAGTCCTTGGTTCCTTTTTCCCTTAGCTGTTCGAAGGGGAATTCACGCTGAGTTTAGTGCACCTTAAACTAAACAGCAAATGTTTTTTGAGTTAGTCCTTGTGCAAAACATGACTGCCATTTACAAAACGAATTATAACAATGTATGAATATGCCAAATTGATGCATGTGAGAATTCCAAGTTCCCCTTAATATTAAAGGATCAGTTTTCCAACAAATTAAATGGCAGATTTTTTCCATTAGTCCGTATGCAAACGGAAGTCAATCTTAATATCTCAGAGTTGGAATAAAATATTCAAAACACGACTGCCATTGACAAACCAAATTTTACCAATGTATGAATATGCCAAATTGATGCATGTGTCAATTCCAAGTGCCACTCTGATAGCAGAACTAAAAATATACAGATAAAAAACAAGCAGAATAGCATGTACTTTAATAACCCCTTACGCATTAGTCGTGTTAATAGATTTTTTACATAGTTTAAAAATTATATAGAAGTTAACGAAAAGATTTCATCCATCGCTTGTCAAAAATAAAATTAAAAGATACTCAGTAAATTTTTACCAAGTATCATAACATTTCTATGATCAGTTATTCTTAACTGTTAGATAAGTATTAAAGATGAAATGTGAGTCTGTACAATCGCCCTTTGAAAAAAAATACGATCTAACCATATAAAATAGTAATTAATTCTGTTGATAAAAACACGGATATTTGGCTTCATTTTTGTTCAAAAATGAAGTTAGATTAAAATGAATCTCACCAGTACAAACTGAAAGGAAAACCACTCAAAATTTATATAGTAACGGAGTCTCCATAAAGCTATAGGGTTGTGTGGTAAAAGTTTTTGTCAATTTTAGTCCTCTGACTATAGTGTCAACAACACTTTTGGTACTTGGCCTTGATTTTTTCAATTTTAGTCCTTCAAATACTATGGGAAAGATACTTTTAATCCTCGGCTTTAAAATTCCCCGCATTTAGGCCCTGAGCATTGTAGATTGACACTTCTAGTCCTATTTTGGTTTTGCTATTAATAGTGGAGGACTAAAACTGTCAATATCAAAAAAGTTGAAAGACCAACAGTGTCACTTCTATGAAAGTTCAAGGACAAAATATGGAAAAATTCAAAGACGGGTCCAAAAATTGTCTCTCGCACAATAGTCAAATGACTTAAAAAGGAAAAATCTAAAATCGAGTACAAAGTGGCATTGTAGTCGGAGGACTAAAAGTGGTAAAAGCTTTAGTTTAAGCGTTAACTCTAGAAAATAATGCATGCTTTTATTGGTTCTTTAACTGAAATAATGATTTAACGCTGCAATGCATACTAATTACACACATGCACGCACAATATAACATCAAAGCATTAATCCCAAAAGATTTTGTGGTTGGTTAACATGTATGGATACATGATATCGGAGCCAAAAAGAAAAGAAAGATAAAAAGATAAGGTAAGTTAAAAAGGATAAGATAAATATAAGTATAAGATAAAGATAAAATGACAAGATAAAAAGAATATTAGAATTAAAATACATATAAAATAAAAAGGATAAAAGAGTAAAGCATATAAGAAAGATAATGAAGATAAAAAGGTAAAAGAAAAAAAGAGAGAATAAAAATCAATCCTTTTGAACGTTGAAGTGATAACAATTGAAGTGGTTGTATCAACCATTTACAAAGAGAGGTTTATGATATAAAAAAGAGGATTAAGGAACGTGTGAAGAAATAGTGCAATACAGATACAGCCCATACAAAAATGTTAATGGTGCTTTTCTTGTTAAGCCTTAATATGGAATACAGCTCATACATAAAAGTTTTCTCTTACTGTTCTTTTGAGAAAAGTAGTGGAATTAGATTGTTTTGGTACGCCTTCATATTTGGCATTATTCGCACGTAGTGCGTATAACACCAGTGTATGTGCTGTGTATGCTAAGAGAACAGTTCTATATCATCATACTTAAACCAAAATCGTCAATTTTACTCACATGGAAAAAGAACATAATATGGTGCATGTGTGCACCCAAATGAATAGTTGGAAAAAAATCAGTTTTCAATCAGAAAAACGCATCAGTTGAAGTTGCAAAGGTCAAGGAAAACCAAGCAGGGTAGACGGTGATTATTCACCCTAGGTTGGCAAATGAGGGGATGTTCGAGCATCAAAAATGAAAAGAGATGATTAAGAACTGTGAGCTGCAATACTTACGGGATCTCCAGTTTCCATGGATTTATGTGAGAGAAATTTTGACACGTCATACCTAGAATATATAAGGGAAATCATCAATAAGGACCTTTTTAAACTTGATTCAGTCTCAGAGAAGATCATCGTCATCATACCAAACCAAACTCGCAACACCTAATATTACACTAAATCAAACCCGACCAGAAAGTTTCAGTCTATAAGTAGGACCTAAGTTCAACACTTGAAAAACCACCATGTCATATAAAAAACTGAAAGAAGCTGCTATTGAATTCCTCAAAACAGGACACTAACCATGCACCATCCCTTGCTGATTTTGCTTCAAACTCCATTTGCGAGTTATCTGAACCATTCCTGCCTGCACTTGCTGGTCATAGAAAACAAATTTTCAAGGCAAATATAATAATTAAGGTTACAATCATTACAGATTAATCATGTATGTCATTGGCGGGAATTGCATTATAAATTGGAAAAACAAGACATTTCAAGTAAAGTTTACTCAACAATCCAACCTGAAGGGGCAGCAATGGCTTGAGGTCCCTGATGAGCTTGGGTCATTGGTCTCACTGTGATTTAATAAAACATACAATAGTATAATACATTAATAATACAAGAACATAGTCATAAATAAAGCATATGATGATTAAAATAATGAATTGACGCCACCGACTTCACCTGCCACATGGGGGGAAGGTTGGGGAGCTTGAGGGACTGTTCTTACAATAGTTGGTTCACTTTGAGGCATGACAGGAGCAGTAACTTTACTGGGAGGAGTGGGAGCCTTAAATGTTTTAGCTCTGATAGCATATCGCCTATTTTGGAACCAATTCCATACCTGGAACCAATAGCAAGACAAAATCAGGAAATGAATACTCTTTAATTGGAACAATTTGCATTGACAGCCACTTACTTGTTTCATCTGAACCACAAACTTTCCACGTCTCTCGGGTGAAGCACTAAAACAAATGTGGTTAAGTTACATTATAATGTATCCAGCTTAAATGAGGGACTCGAACTATCAATTAAGTATAGATGTATATGTACCTAAATTTTTCAGCGAGAGACACAAGAACTTCACGAGCAGGCACTTGAGTATTGTGTCCTTGCAAAACAGCCTCCATCTCAGCAACCTAGAGGATTACAAACAATAAAGAACTCATTATCTAACACAGTCAGTAATTCCTTGTTCCATGACTTTCCATCTCAATATAGCTATAGTCTATCCAGCTGATAGTTTGTGCAAAAGCTAAGGTTCAATTTAGGTTTTCCAATTTCACAAGAAAGAAGTGATTGTGTATTTTCGCCACTTAGTATTAGTTTTTTAATCGGTTGAAATTGCGTTCATGTGGTTTGATTTTAACATACTTAATACAGATGAGAATGAATTATTTGTTGATGCAACCTAATAATAAACCGAATTACATAAGCGGCAGTGCTGAATCGAGAAAGAAGGACCTCCAATGCACGAATAAATCAATAAATACGCATAATTAGAGAATGAATGAATACATAAACACGGGAGGATAAAGTGAAAAACCTCGGTAGGGTTGAATCGGAAAGAAGGACCCCCGTTGCTCGGTGGCCTGCCCATCAGCTCCGCCTAGAGAGATGAAATGAACAGAAAACTGCGGTAATTTCGGGGGACGGGGAACGAAGCGAAGATGGAACTGGTTTTGGTAATATCGTTTATGCTCACAGAATTGCCGATTATGGGGGTGTTTGGAACTGATTCTGCTTCTGCTTCTTTTTTAAAAGCAGAAGCAGAATCAGAATCAGTTTTCAGAAGCTGGTACCCCCCAGCTTCTAAAAAAACTGATTCTGAGAGTAAATTAGAGCTCCAGAAGTGCTTCTGGAATTTCACCCAAACACTCCAGCTTCTGATTCTGCTCCCTGAAGGAGCAGAATCAGTTTTGAGAATCAGATCCAAACACCCCCTATGTAGCGCAAAAGACGAGACGAGAGTGTATATATCAAGTGGGGTTCCGCGGGGAATGGTACGACTCCTTGGCTGAAGATTAATTCATATTTATTTACTCCTTAACTAGTTTTCAAGCCCGTGCGATGCACGGGCAGAACGTAATTTAGTTAATTTTAAATGTCTTTTTTTAAAAAAATTGATAGTGGAATAAATTTATATTAATAATTAAAGTTTTTCATTGACACTATAATATATAAGAATAATACTAAATTGATTATTTTACTTGATTCTGACCGTTTACAAATATTATTTTATTGCAACACACATCTTAACATATAGGACTTAATAGAAAAAAGTAAACAACCCTTCAATTTAATATATAGCTCGTTTGGTAATAATAAAATTGATTGAATTGACTGATTATGTTGAAATTGATTAAGTTCTCTCTGAATGAGATCGATGCATAATTATTTTATAGTTTTAATAGTGTGAAATTCAAATAATTTGTCAGATTGAGAAATTTGCACAACTGAATTTACGATTTTAATTTCTATACCTTGTTTATTAACTTTATCAGATTTCAAATAAAAACGAATGTCATAAAACTTTAGTGATTTTAGAGAATTTTCTCAAAAAGCTCAATGTGACATATTAAAATAGATAGACGTACTACATTACTTTATACGTAGTATATCTTAGTGAAAGCACCTTATGTAATTATGCATCTCGTATCACAAATTATGTGTACCATTAATATAATGTCATGACAATATACTCCAGTTTTCACTCTGAAAAAAAAAGTACTCCAGTTTTCTTTAACTTGTACTCCGTACTATCATAATAATCTCTTTACATGTAAGTCAGATTTTAATTTCTATACCTTGTTTATTAACTTTACGTGTTTATACTTTATAGGTTTTTTTTCCTTTCCGGTACGTGTATCCTTAAAAATTATAGCAAATTTTCTGAACTTTTTTCTTCTTCAAGTAAGTAACATTCATCTCAGAGAATTACTTGGGAATATAGTACTTCCAAAGGGTCTTTAACTAATTGCACTCATCAATATCAAGATCTATGTACACCATGCTTGAGGGGATGTTGATAAACATAAATTTCCTGCACAATTAGAACAAATTTACTGAATATTGAAGAGGCAATGCACATGATATTATCACAAAGAAGCCAATATATGCACAATGGAATTTGAACTGTTAACTTTATTATTGTGATTACTTACCATTATAGTCTTTAACTATAGTAGAGGTAACGACTATCACAAAATGTTTTGTAGGCTCATCCAGTTTATTTCGTTGTTTGGTAAGGTGATCAATGCATTGACCCCATAGTCTTACTTTGATGTGTTTCGCTCTGCATGGTAACAAAAGTGAGTACATGTGATTGGACGTTACTTGAATTTTGTAGGATAAAAAACTATATAATTAGTAAATAGATATGAAACATACCACTGGTCTTCTATTTCAATAGTTTCACATCCATTAGGATCATAATCGTACACAACCATGCAAACCACATCTGCAAGAACAATATTTAGTGGTATAAATTGATTATAGAAATATAACACCAATATAATATTTAGTAACAATATTTTTTCATACCAGTCAAACGATATTTACTCTCAAGACGACTCTTTAAATTGTTGAAAGATACGAAGTCAAATTTATAATTCGGCACTTCAATTGCTTCTCCTTTGACTTCTTTGATGACAGTGTTATGGAAGAATTGTAGCATGATTTTATTATCGGATACAACACGATACTCTTCTTTATTTGGAACCACTGAGAAATATTTTATGATGTGTATCATTCCTTCCTTTATTTTGGGACGTAATGTATGAACATATCCACTTCTTATAGATGCATGAACATAATTACCCTGCGACCACAACAAAATACCATTAGTTTTTTTCTAAAACAGGTTCATTTAAAATTGGAAATTTAAGAAAAAGCATACCTCTTCATCGATCAGAATCGTGTCTAGACAAATTAAGCTTCTTTGCCTTTTGTGATTGATGACATCACAGAGGCGTGTAACACGAACTTTGATTGTCTAGTTGGACTTGGATGTATCAAGCTGACGTATTAGAAAATAACTTCTGCATTTTATGGAATATTAATCAATCAAGTATAATTCATAATAATATCATGTATCATAAACATGTGAATGGTAAAGTATTATATGTACATAGTATTCAATAATATATCATTAAAAATGTTGTAGAAACTTACGGTGATAACATTCTTGATATAAGAACACTAAACAATAGAATTCTTCAAACTAAGGAGAAAGTCAATAGTGAAAATACACTTTTCTTTTCATTCTCTTTGTATTTAAAATAGCTTACATATGCACAGTAGGTAGTTTTTATGTTTCTAATTCTAAATTTAGAAACATAAAATATACTAAAAGTTTACTCCAAAATTACATAGCTTTAGATTTAGAAACTTAAAATATACTAAAAATTTATTCTAAAGTATGAAATTAGAAATTAAAAGATGATGAATAAAATCATCTTTAAATTACGTAGCTTTAGATTTAGAAACTTAAAATATAGTAAAAGTTTATTCTAAAGTATGAAATTAGAAATTAAAAGATGATGAATAAAATCATCTTTAAATTACGTAGCTTTAGATTTAGAAACTTAAAATATACTAAAAGTTTATTCTAAAGTATGAAATTAGAAATTAAAAGATGATGAATAAAATCATCTTTAAATTACGTAGCTTTAGATTATTATTATTACGTAGCTTTTTTATTCTAAATCAGATTTATAAGAGTGTCGAATAAAATCAGATTTTATACAAATATGAGTTACCAAATAAGATGTGATATAAAAGGTAAAAAAATTAAAAGATATAGCAAGTAATTAAATATTAAATAATAGTTATATATGATGACATGGCATGATTATGTGGCACTCCGTATGCTCTTGAAAAGTTCCTCTTTTATATATATATATTGATTTTTTGGGTATTACGGACACTTCAATTGGTCATCTTGTCTACTTAATTAATTAATTAACTCAATCTTACTTGACTTTCTTCTTCAAGTTTGTCCACACTTTTTATCCTAAGATCTCGTCGTCTCGAATCTATCATTTTATTTTCATCTTCATCTGTATTCTAATACTCCCTCCGTCCCCCTAAGTTTGTCCCGTTTTACCTTTTTCGTCCGTCCCATTAAGTTTGTCACATACCATATTTGGTAGTATTTGAGTGGTTAGAATTCATTCTTACTTTATTTACACCTTATCTATTCAATACCAACCACACAATTCTACTTTTTCTTAAAAACCACACCACACCCCTTTGTCCCAAACTTAGGGGGACGGAGGTAGTACGAATTTCCTACTTAATCCATTGTATATAAACGGATTGGTGTACTTTTGATTCATTGTGATGCATTTGTTGTGCCGGATAGCTTCGGTTTATTTCTCTACATCCTATCTATGTTTTAGTCTAATGTATTGCATGCACCATTGACATAATCAGTAATTGGAACTCAAGTCACGCACTCAATCCATTTCCATTTTCGTAAGAATTACTTTTTTTTATTCAACATTTGTATTTGTGTGAGATAGTTTTAGTTTGTTAAAAGATAAGTATTACTCCCTCCGTCCTATTGGACTTTGCCAACTTTCCTTTTTTGGTTGTCCCAAAAAACTTTGTCACTTTTCTATTAAAGCAACTAATTTGTGGTTTTGCACATTTCTCTCTCCTCTGCACAAATTTCAACCACACAGTTTTTACTATGCTTATTTCTCACCTACTTTGCACTTGGCAAAGTCCACCGGGACGGAGGGAATAATACGTACTAGTGTAAAGTCCGGGGCAATGCCCCTGGCAGCGGCGCGTCACTTTGTGAATCCTTCATAGGATACAAAGTTTAATATAACACATTTTTACTATGATCTCACCACATTTTTACTATATATTTACTCTTTAGTCTATATGAAAATTTTTATTGTGTTCACTACGGTTGCGGCTATTGCGGCCTATGCGGTGTAATTTAATTTTACGTTTGAACGAAATAAGAAAATAATTAGTGTTGATGTCTTGATACGATCCAATGTGGCCTAGTTGCAGTCACCTTACGGTTTCGTTGGGTGAGTTACGTAGTAGATTTTCCCCGTGAATTGAAATCACACCTCCATTGTGGTCTTATGCGGTTGCGCTACATTACTACAGAAGGCAACCGCAACATTGCAGCCGCAACATGTGTTGCAATCCCAGCCTATCCCGTTGCGGCCACGTTTCGTTGGGATGATGGGACATTATTGATATTCTTGTAGTAGTTCATAATTCGAGAATAATAAATGTGTTATTATGAAACTTTTTGAGTAAAGATTTTATTGTGTTCATAATTATATGCACTACAGAATAATTTTATGCATATTGTTATTATGTTTTTCATATCATAATGTCTTTATTCACGGTATAAACTAAATATGATTATGAATATAATAATTAGAGTATTATTTGAAATGTAATTTACAATATGATTTAATGAGCAATTCAATCCATAATTGAGCATATCATGTACGTAGATGTTACAAAATATTTAGATGTTGTAATGTAAGAGTATGAATTATTTTTTATATTATATGAGCATTTGCATCATGTGATGAGTTAGACAATGATTGTAAAATTAAAGTGTTAATACTTATTATGCCAAATCAATAAGAGAGTCACACGTAGGCCTAGACTCAGGCCGGTTCGGGCCTGGGCCCGGCCGGGCCTCGGTTCATGAAAGGGAAGGCCCGGAACCAGCCCGGGTAACCCCCGGGTCCGGGTCGGGTCTCGGTTTAATTAATTTTTTTAAACTTTTCCTAATTAACCCCCAACCCTCCCCCGTCACCCCCAAGGCCCCAAACCACCTCAAATGGCCCAAAATACCCAGCCCAACCAAAAAACTTAAAAAAAAGGCCCGAACCGGCCAGGCCGGTTCACCTTTTAAGGGGCCCGAGCCCGGACCGGAACCCCAGCGGGTCGGGCCTACCCGGACCGGTCCCTGGCCGGGCCGGTTCAAACAGTGACCGGTTCAGGCCGGTTCCGGGGCGGGCCGCCCGGCCGAGTCCAGGCCTAGTTATGGATGGACTCGGTTCGGGCCCGGCCCGGGCCTAGGCCCGGTCAGGCCTCCGGTCCTAGATTGGAGGGCCCAGAACCGGCCCGTGTAACCGCCGGGTCCGGGTCGGGGCGGGCCGGGCCTCGGGTATTTTTTTTTTGTCTTTTCCTAATTAACCCCCCCCCCCCACATCCAAACCACCTCAAATGGCCCAAAGTACCCAGCCCAATCCAAAAACTTAAAAAAAAAATCAAAAAAAAAATTTAAAATGGCCCAGACCGGCCGGGCCGGTTCACGTTTTGAGGGGCCCGAGCCCAGACCGAAACCACCTCGGGTCGGGCCTACCCGGACCGGTCCCTGACCGGGTCGGGCCTACCCGGACCGGTCCCTGACCGGGTCGGGCCTACCCGGACCGGTCCCTGACCGGGCCGGGCCAATGACGGGCCGGGTCAGTTCCGGGTCGGGCCACCCCGGCCCGAGTCCATCCATAGGCCTAGTCACACGTAGCATTTCTCAATTCATGTTTACTATATAAAACAATAGATAGTGAGGAATCCGGTGTTTTAGATTTTTTTAAAAATTAATTCAAATATGTAAAATTTAATCAAAATTTTAAGATTTTAATCTACTTTAAAAAGTTTTGGGCTTTATTGTCAAAAATTTCATCACTTGGTGGAGGAACCTATAACTTATTTCCTCCACCAACTTGATAATCATTAGAGCTCAAACCCAATCCAAAAAAAAAAATGAGTTACTATAACTAGGATACCAAACAATGCTAACACAGCCGAGAAGTTGGTGTTGGTTTCATGTTCCAACTCAAGTGCATATATTTCTCTCTACCCGCGTGGAAACTATTTCATATCAAGGACAAGATAGAAAGAATCAAGCATTCATCCACTAAATGTAGTAACATGGGAAAATCATCAAAGGAGGTTGACAAGCTGCTGCTATCTATAGTTTCAGGTTCAGATCTACAACTCCATTAGACTCACTCTTGTCACTTCTTTTAGAGCTTTCTTCAAGATCACTTTGCACCTTAGTTGGCGGGAAGAAGCTAAAGATGTGTGGTTGACCCCATCCATTCATTCCTGGCCGTTTCATTTTCTCTTCACCACCTCTCTATATTAATTTGAGAGTGGAATTAGTCAAAAAAAAAAAGACAACAAAAATCAAAATACAAATGGGTTATTTGTTGTCATATAAAAATACAAGACCTTCAGCGGACTCTGATTTTATGATTTTCTTTTAATTTTATGAATCGTATAGACCACTTACGAAATTTGCAAATTATACAAAACTAACACAAGGTTGATAGCTGACCAAATACACGCTTATTCTTTGCCACGCTTATAGTGCTATGAAGTTCTTGAAAAAGGATGGAACTGACTTTGTGGTCCCATATTACACTACGCAAAAGCAGATAAACACACAAGACATGAATACAGGCATGCATACAACTTGGCAATCTACATGGCAAAAGGCAAGTTCTCCAGTCATAATGTAAGCAAAATCAAGTAGATCATCAACATTGCATATGAAAGTGCAAAACTTAAGAAGCATGCATAACAGATTGAAAAAATCTAAAAGACGTGATTAAACCACAGAAGGCAGCAAAGGTCGCGTATTTTTTAATAAATAACCCAAATGGAAATCATGTGCCCGAAGAAGTAATGCTATATTAGGAAAACAACCCAGATGGAAATCATGTACCCAAAGAAGTAATGCTATATTAGGAAAACAACCCAGATGGAAATCATGTTTCCAAAGAAGTAATGCTATATTAGGAAAACAACTATGACTGTATCCATCCCTAAGCTACAAATCAGTTAATTGCACAAACTGAAAACTAAGACAATGCCAATGGCCTCAGGGACTAATTGCATGTATAAGTCTCTTGCATGGATGAGACTAGGGAGTCATCTCTCATCTCCACATATTGTACTGGTAATACGAGTTAAATATTAAAAACTAAAACAAATGGAAAAATGTAACAATTATTACTATAGGTCACCTGATTTGATGCTTCAGGATTTAGGGGGAGTTGATTTCTGGATGAATGGTGGTATCTATGATCTATTTGTGATGAAGAAGCTGCATCGGCCGGAGGGGCCAACGAGAGGAAATCTCCATCAAGACCTCCATTTTCTCTGTTAAGACTTCTTGAGTTGGACTCAAACTGTGAGCTTGAAGTGCCTTCCCTGAGCAAAGAAAAAGAAGAAGAAACTTTCAATACATTCAAGAACTAACATATTATTTTTAAGAACCCAAGATTCGATAACATACCTGATAGGAAGATTGTGTGATTCTAATACATTAGCTACGCTACCGTTGCCACAGGATGTTGGTTCATTATTTGCCCTCGATGTGGAAGAAGCATAACCAGGAGGAAATTTGCAATTAAATGATGGAACTGGCGGGTATTCTGGAGAGAAAGGATATGGCCTTTTGACACCAACCATCTACATCACATCAGTAATCAATAGAAAATACCATCAGAAAAAGAGTTTCAGCATATATCAGGTACAAAATGAGAAAAAAGAATCACGTGAATTCAGTCATTATTGTAATAACTGAAGAATAATTAAAAAAAACTTGTCTTTTTTTCCCTAAAAGAATAATTGATGATTACACTAAAGAACAAAAATGTTTACACTTTACAGACACAACTATCCAAAGAAAGTGAAGAAATGTGCACTCTTTACTAAATCAGAGTAGTGTCAGACTCTCATTAGATTTGAATCTGCTGAACATGTAAAATGCATTTTATTGTATTACAAAAAAAGATCAAAACAAAAGCAATGGAAATACCTTCACTTCCTCAGGCCACAGTGGCATGTAATCGTTATCACGGTAAATTTGGTTTGAAGGGGGCTCTGTCTGAAAATTCTTTAAAGATGACGTTGATGATGAAATCCCAGACAAGATGTTCACCTGCAACATTCACAAATCAGTCACAGGATATAAAAGAATAATAATAACTATTACTATATTAATATTGATCTTAATATTATCTTACAATCTTATAATAGCCAATGAAGGTTAGGATATTGAAGGGAAGGGGAAAATGTTAGTGTAATCATCTTGCTTAGTCAGTTGTACAATGTGCTCTACCAGCTGTACTCTATTAAAAAAGAACTTATCTTCCCATTTGATTTCCATCTCTCATCGTCAATTTGTCACTTTGAACACACCTTCCATTTCTCTCCATTTCTCAGCACTCCTAACCCTACTACACCCAGCTGCTCCTTTCTGCACGCTAACCTCACCAAGCGGCTCCCTTCGTTTCCTTCTTGTGGCGCTAACAGGTAAGTTCTCTTTCCGTTTTCTCGAATCTCGACTTCACAGTGAACTGTCATATCTCCTTCCCTAGCCCCTGTCGCTACTGCGTTTCAGTTTCTTTTTTTGTGTTTCCGTATTCTATTTCATTACTCTCTGCTTGTACTCTTGCAGCATAAGAATATGCCTATTTTACATTTTGTTCATGTGAAATCACAAGCCGGCTTTATATTTCGAGTTACGCTTGAATGTATGCAAAGTGCATTGTTGACACTGGGAATACGCCAGTATAACCCTTGTACATGTCACAGGATTACGTTTATTATATAAACACATATGATATGAAGAACATATATATAAGATACTAAGATAGTGTATATATTAATATTATGTATAATTTTTTCCTCTCATTTTTGTGAAGTGAACATTTGCAATAGTCCACTTTGTCCATGAATAAGAACTCTAAAAGAGTGATGACATCACCATTTACATTATGTTTTGGTCAATTTAGACCTATAGTAGTGACCGAAATAGTATTTAGGGCATAAGTCAAGTTTTTGTAGGCTCGAGCTCTTGTTTGAGGGAGGCTAACCTGTGTTTACACTTATTTTCCATTTATGCCTATCCGTGTTATCCCACATTAGTATTTAGGGCATAAGTTACTTCATAAGCCCTTGTTGGAGGAATGCCCATCTTTATTAAGCCTTTTTACTCTATAAGCTACTGCTCCACTTTAAGAATGTTCCAAATAAGAGCTGTAGTAGTGCCGATAGTAGTATTTAGTACATATGTCAAGTTTCTGTAGGACTAGTTATAAAGCTCTTTTTCTAGGATGGCTAAAATGTGTTTACGCCTATTTTTCATTTATGCCCACCTATGTTACCCCACAGGAGTATTTAGGGCACACATTACTTAAATAGGACTTTGATAAAATGTAGTACAACGGTTACTAATTGTTACATTTAATATATAATCATGTATTACATGAAGATTACTTATAATTTACCTCTCCTTTATCTCTGAACTTCATGTTCAGGACATTTGTAGGCATAAGCTCTTGTCTGAGGGCTACCTTTTTTTTATTATCCTTTTCAATTTGTAAACTACTACTCCTCTTTAATAATGTTCCAGTTTAATAAAGGTTAATAATAATTTTCTAAATGTCACTATAATTAGCAATTTAGCATTTGGAGTATAGTAGACACACAAACATGCAGCTCCTAACTAACTTCCCGCATGCACTTCGAAAACCACTTCCCTGGTTGAAAATTTTGAGAAGCATTTCAATTTGAAGGCAAAGTGTATTGTATATGGACATGTAGTAATAATCTGCCACTAATCTATCCTTGACCGCACACTATGAGAAAACTAAAGTTGGATTGTAAGGATTCTCAAACAAGCTAATGCTTAAGACCAGTCATGTATTTAAACACACCGGTAAAAGTGTGAAAACAACATTAAAACAACATGGTTGATTAAAAATGTAAAAAGTAAAGAAAAAATTACTCCACCAAAATACCCCACATCATTCGAACTCAATATATTTAAGTGAAACATTTAAATACTATGGTACAAAGGGCAATATTTCTATCAAAAGTATCACTGGTGGTACAGTTTTTAACGAAAGTATTAGTAATAGACTATAGTTTAGGTATACTTTCAGTGGTGGAAAATTCAACAACTGTAAGAGTAATGGCATACGCAATCATATTATATTTTGGTCTAATCAGGCCAGTAGTAGTTCCCAAAGTGTGACAAGTTACAAGAGGAGTGTGTTGCCCACTTGCCCTCGTGTTCAACTCATTCCAGCTCAATACATTTTAGTGACACTTAAATATTATGATACATAGTGCGATATTTCTATCAAAAGTATCATTAGTGGTATTGTTTTTAACAAAAGTATCACTAATATCACTAATATTATAGGAATATTTTAACCAATTGTCTGGTGTGGTTTATGGTTGACTCTTCATTTATAATTGACTGGGTAATTTGACAACTGTAAAAGAATAATGACATAACCATTCATTTTATGTTTTGATCGAAACAGAGCGGTAGTAGTGCCTACTGTAGTATATAGGGCATAAGTAAAGTTTCTGTATGTATGAACTCTTGTTTGAGGGTGGCTCATATGTGTTTATGCCCATCTTTATTATAAAACAGTAAAGTTTGCAAACAGATTGCTATCAAGCCACTCCAGTGGGTACAAATTTAATAATCAATACACTGGATGTAATCGTTTCAACGGAAATACAGTTATACAAATGCGGTTTGCAGAGAAAGTTCTTGTTTTTTCTTTTATCCAAATGCTAAAAATTATATTCCTGTGTATCATGTATATTTTAGTCTCAAATTGAGTTAATTATCATTTTAGGTGGACTGAAATTTGTCCATTTTCACATTGGATATGCATTTTATTTCTCCAACTTTGTTTACCTGTTATTTCCTAACCCCCTTAACATGCCCATTTTTTCTTATGACTTTCCTTCCAAATAATATTCCTTTTGGAAGATATACTTTTGTTTTGGCAAAAAATGTTAAGCGCGTCTTTTGTTAATCATAAGGTGTCATTTGGACAGGGCAGTCATATTCCATCTTCTTACCGTTGTTTTTTCTAAATATCTCTTTTAAAAGATAATTGAAATCATAACAGCAAGTCATGTTTCATACAATGTACTGTTTTTTATTTTGAAATCATTTTTTCTTACTTTTCAATAGATAATACGTAGTATGAATTAACAATGCAGCCCTACTTAGTTTGAGGGTGGCCAATACTACGTATGTGTTTGTGGCTATATTTTCATTTATGCCCTTTTATGTTATCCACAGGTCTAGAGGTGAACACATGATAAAAGTGCATTACAACAACTTCAACTATATTAGACTTACTCTTTCTAATAAGATTTTGATAATATGAAGTCCAAAGGTTACTAATAATGTGCCACAAATGTCATAACTACGCATTCATGCGCTTTTTTACCAGATATACCTGAAAGGGGTAAAAAAATGCAATTCATAGTAATGTAAAAATATGTAGTGCTAATAAGACTTAAAAACAAATTATCATGTATTCATCTCATAGTGTTGCTTTATCAATGGTTCCATGGCCCCACGCTATTTAGTTATACTAATAAAGTTATCATAGCACTAATAAACCGTATTACTCTTTAAAAAATTAAAAGAAATTTACTTCGTTATAGTCTTCATGTGCTTTCGGATGTACTAGCACATTTTAATCACATTTTAAAAAATAAAAACCACAGGCCAGACATCTAATTTTGGATTGACCTTTTCTCATTAAAAGAAATCTTAATGAACTTTGTGAATAGATATTCCTCTAACTTGCTTGAGAACTTTTCTAGATAAAGAATTTGAAAAGCTGCTGAGTTTAAAGATCTAATTGAATCGATTAGTTCTAAGATTCTAAAACAGGAGGGTCATTTTCTCTTCATGGCAGACAGAGTAACTCTCATTAAAAAATCTGAGGAGAACAACTGATTTTATGTTTTGGCGAATGTAGGCCATTTTTTACTCCTTTAAGACTGGGTGTATATATCCAATATTCCAATTCACTTGATAAATCCAGATTTTATCCTCTAAAAAATAAATCCTAACAACACCCATAGAATACAATTTGACAGATTTCATAGAGTAGCATGCACCTTAACCTATTCTAATGTCCTACTTAACAACTTTGTGTGCAAATTCTTAGATCTCAGTTATACCAACCAACGAAGTAAACCAAAATTAACCATTTATAATGGGCATTTACTTATCACGCAACACGCGTCCAGGAACTAGTTAATAATAATATATGGGCATTTAGTTTGCTAACCATTGATGAAGAAGCAGGCTGCTGATATTGCTGTGATCTCTGCAATGCAGTTGGGAGTGGCAAAACTGAAGAATGCGGTTCAATAGGCATGTTTATGTTCGGCCATAATGAATACCCAAGTTGATCCAGCCTTCGACTCTCTCCTCCTTCGAGATTGTATTCACCATCCCACAGTTTGGGCCACTGACTGTGGCCCGGGATCATCAAGCCCGATCTACCCCTCTCACCACCCTCATGATCAAACTTTGGGAGACATGAGGGGAGATCAGGAGGGGAATGGATTGATGAAGGAGGAGAAAGGTGAGACCTTGAGGAGATATTAGGCAGCAAGATGCTAGGTGAGAACACACTATTACTAGCTGCTTGAAAAGCATTGTTCTCCCTTCTGTGCTGTTCCTCTAATCTAATCTTCTCTAGCTGAGCAACCCCTAATCCTCTTTGGGGCACTTTTTTCTGTTTAAGCTTTTTCAAAGATCTACCACTACAAACACCTCCCCCACCATCACCACTACTACTATTGCTACACTTCTGGGCAGGTTCTTCTTGAACCATTGCCATTAAAATCTCAACACAACTTCAAGAATTCGAGTGAAACACCCAACAGAGAACTATTTATAGACGTAAAACATCCCAACATCGCCATTAATTTCTACAGATTCAAAAAATATTGCGAATTTAAGAGAAAATCCAGAAAATCTGAGAGTTGCAAATTAAAGATGGCGTATCCCAAAATAAGCAATTATGATAGTTACACGCACAAGGCGTACGCAAAATGCGTAGGCGCCTAGTTCTGAAGCGTCCGCCATAGCCTGGACTTGGTTTAGTACTAGAGGTGGGCCGACTTCTAAAATTTAGCCCAAAGCCCACACTGATTTTAAAATTATGTAAATGCAATCACTCGCTTCTTCTGCGTTAACTTCTATAGAGACCTTTGGAGTTTTTTCCCAAAGGAGGGTAGTCTCCAATCTTATTTCCCAAAGGAGGGTACTTTTAAACTTATTTACCAAATGAGGGTAGTTTTTTTCTTGTCATCCAATTTCCGCCACATCACCTACTCCACATCATTCACCGTCATCAATCATTCCACGTCATCAGCCATAGGTGTATTCTTTTAAAATATAAAAAAATTCGTAGCCCCTGGGAATTGAACTCAGGACCAAAACAATGGATTTGCATCTTGAAACCCACTAGGCTACATTGACTTGTTGGTACAAACACACCTTTACAAGTATTTAACATCTATGTATGCAACTTATTTTGATATACGCAATTCAAATATAATTTAAAATAACTCTACATTAATTAAATAAAATGAGAAACAAAAATGACAGCGGCTGGACTAATTCATCCCATATTTAATAAAAGAAATCTTATATTACTAATGCGTAAACGTGTAAAAATATAAATTCCATGACAAAAATAAAAAAAAAATCCAACACTGAAATACAATTTTTTACAATCACAATATAAGTATTTTACAAGTATATTGACATTTATTTGACATATACTACATACTATATATTTAAGCACATGACATCACCAACTTAATTCATATATTAATCGTTCCTTTAGAGATATATTAGTCATTCTTCAAACAATTAAAGAATATGATAACATAACATTAAAAGAAGAATATGATAAATACTTAATTTGAGATATACAATTAAAAAATTAAAACTCAATTAAAAATTATAACAAAAACGTAATTTGATATATGCTATACAAGAATAACTTAAAATAAATCTACTCTAAATAAAAATTGAGTTTTAAAAAATACATCTCAGACTTGTGAAATCCTTATATTATGATTGTAAAAAAAATTGTATTTCAGTGTTGGATTTTTTTAAATTTTTGTCATGGAATTTATATTTTTACACGTTTACGCATTAGTAATATAAGATTTTTTTATTAAATATGGGATGAATTAGTCCAGCCGTTGTCATTTTTGTTTCTCATTTTATTTAATTAATGTAGAGTTATTTTAAATTATATTTGAATTGCGTATATCAAAATACGTTGCATACATAGATGTTAAATATTTGTAAAAGTGTGTTTGTACCAACAAGTCATTGTAGCCTAGTGGGTTCCAAGATGCAAATCCACCATTTTGGTCGTGAGTTCAATTCCTGGGGGCTACGGTTTTTTTTATATTTTAAAAGAATACCCATATGGCTGATGACGTGGAATGATTGATGACGTGGAATGATGTGGAGTAGGTGATGTGGCGGAAATTGGATGACAAGGAAAAAATTACCCTCATTTGGTAAATAAGTTTAAAAGTACCCTCTTTTGGGAAATAAGATTGGAGACTACCCTCCTTTGGGAAAAAACTCGAGACCTTTGCCAACTTTGTGATCTTCATACAACTTTTCATTTCTACTGCAAGCTTCAAGCTTTTTCATGACTTTGAGACTTTACTTCACGCTAACTCAAGAAAATTTGATGCTTTGTATAATGGACAACTATAATCAATTATTTTATTACTTTTGTTATCGTTAACTATAAACAGATTTATATATTGTTACAAAATATTCTGTATGGAACGTAACTTGTTTAGTAAGGTGCATGGGTAGGAAATAGCTTGATTTATTATTTAATTTTTGTGGGTCTTCATTATCTCATTTGTTGACTTTCAATTATTTATTTTATTTTATTTTTTATTACAATGTTTGGATGATATATGTGTGTTTGTGTGTGTGGGCACGTGTGTCAAAATTGAGACTTACACAATAGGCAATGTTAAGAAACTGCCTTAAATAGACAATAAGCAATAGGCAAACTTTGCATAGTAATAATAATATAATATGAATAATAAAAATAAAAAGGTAAATCCTAACATGTCATATTGTCATCTCTAGAGAGATCACATAATATTTCGCAGGTTATGGAGTCAAGATGGGCAACTTAAATGGGAAAAAATAAAAACCTCCCCGTAATTTAGCAGAGATTACAACTTTATGGTACACATTTATATCCTCATATATATAATTATTATTAAATTTAAGAAAGAGAAAAACTAAACATCCATTGATTTTATGAGAACAAGAATATGAGGGCCGCCGGGTTTTCTCACGCTTAGTTGTTAGAGCAATCAGATCAGTAATATTTGTAAAGATCATAATTATGGAGTAAAATATTGCGAAGATATCGTGAGAAACTAATTTATATTTCAAAATTCGAGTTTTAAATGTGAAATCTAAAGCAACCTACATAAATGCCATATTTTTCTCTCTAATTTCTTGCCATAAACCCCGCTCCACACTTCCATTTTCGCTTGATGGACCGACTCTAACGTATTCCCCTTTTCTCTCTTACTCTCATTTCTCTCTCTTTCTATTTGTTTTGTAATTAAATGGTTTGTTATCTAGCTGAAGAAGAGTTGATCTAAAATGCATGATTTTCTGCCATATCAGGCAATGTGAGGAAGGAAAACATATTCATATTTTGCCATGCAGTGTTTGTTGGGCAGTTTAAAACTGATTCGGATCTGCTTTAGTAATGCCTCATCATAATATTTAAAAAATATTTTTGTACCTAAAACCTTGTATTCTCGATCTCTAAGCCCTTTTATTTAGCCCTCTTAATTTGGCATTATATTAATTTTTTTGTAAAAAATAGTTAAAATTTGTTTAGAGGCTATAATTTCATTCATATTTAATCCCAATGTTTCTCATATAATATGTCGATTATGTTAGCTGACTCCAATTTATTTTTTTAATCAATAATATTGTGACATCGTTGTTGTTGGATTGAAAAAATAATTTCTTAGATATAACTAGATGTGCCAGTAAATCTTAATATGTGGCATAACTTTTTTAATAAATGTCATACATTAGCTTTAACCGGTAAATTACAACTTAGGAAAACCATTTGTGCTACATCGTTGACTTGGAGAATTTGATTGCTTTTTTTTAATAATAATTTAACGGGTGATTTGCACTTTATTGCTGATTTCAAAGATTTGGTTGAGAGGTTTTTTAAATTTAGGGGATGTTTTGCACTATTGTGTTAGTTGAGGACTTCTTTGGTACTTTCCCTCAAAGAAATTGATGGATAAAGTTGATAAAATACAAAGGGATGAGTAAATAAGGGAGTGTTTGCAATTGTTTCAACTTTAAAAAAGTGATTTTTTAAAGTGATTTTGGGAAAATTGATTAATACTAAAAGTTGGTAGTGTTTAGAGAAAAAAGTGATTCTGAAAAAGTAAAAGTTGGTAGTGTTGGTAAAATAAGTACTTTTTGTGTAATAGAAAAAGTGAGAAGCAGTTTAAAGCACCCTTCTACCTGCTTCCAGCTTTTAGCTTTTAAGTGATTAATTTAAGCAGAAGCTGTCATTTGAAAACACTCTTTTCGTCTTTTTTTAAGCCAAAAGCTAAAAAGCGTTTTTTTAATCAATCCCAAACACTCCTTAAGAATTCTTCATCTTTTCTATTATCAGACGGCGGCCAGGGAACCGCATGTTGGTGATGGCAGCTGAGTGCTGACGAGGTTTAATGGGCAGTTGGGGGTGGCAACAATGACTCCCGGTAGGAATTTGAACTAAACATGTATGTTGAGTTAAAAAGAAAAAGTCTACTACTTATGGATATTAAACATGATTGTTCGTTTCACTGATGATGCCAAAGTGAATAAGTGATATTTGCCTGATTCTTGATAATGGAATATAATAATTGAATATACATGGGTACATATTTAGCAACCATTTTCCCATAAATTTGAATAGTAGAATGATTTTGATGTTTCATTTGAGCTTTTCTGTTATTACCATTTTAATAGATATTTTTAATGTTATACATTCCATAATTACTTAGTATCTATGTATGTTAGGTTGATGAAAGCCCATGTTGTAAGAACCAGATCAAACCGGGTGATTTGACCCGTAACCCGACCACGCACTGGCCAATTTTCCGGTCTGGTTAACTATTAAATCATTACTTTGATTAATCCCGGAAACAACCAACACCCGCGTAAACTCAGACTAGAACCAGTCCAGTCCACACCCGCGAAATACCAAAAAATCGGAGAGGATGTCGCTTGCAGAGTTGCAGGAATTGAACTCGCGTATGTTGCCTTGCATTCGACCTCATGAACTTCGCCACACCAGCTCCTTCTTAATCTAGATTACTTAGGATGTTTTTAATTGGATTGAAAGTTTCTAATCTGATTTGGTCTGGTATGATTTGATCCGGTTCGGTCTATTTAAGTATGGTCTAGTTTGGTATGTCTGAACTGCCAAACTGGTATGTTCTGACTTCTGATCTAGTTAATGTATGCAATATGTGTATTTTTTATTTATCGAAGTCTAGTCTGGTCTGATATGTTTAAGTCTATTAATATACTTTCCAATTATGTATATCATTTTACCAATATATTTGTTTAATTTTTTGTAATTTGTGTTATGTTCATTGTCCACATAAGCCTCATTGTATTTTGAAATTTGTTAATACAAATGTATTTTAATACAATAGTTTTTTTTTTAAATTTTATTATATTGTATTATCATTGTTAAATTATGAAGGAATATAATTTTTTTGTGTACGTTTTGGACTATTGGTATTGATTGGGTTTTTCACTCTTTGATCGGGTTGACTCACCGGGTTCGGGTTGACCCGTGACCCATTAATCTGGCAGGAGTACTTCTCGGGGTACTTCTCGGTCTGATTTTTACAACATACGAAGTACTCCGTATATGAAAGCAACAATTTACTCTTCACCCGTCCATACAATTTGATTTTGATCTTTAATTTTATATGTAGGATTTTTGTATTTCAATTGAAA